AGAATCTCCAAAAATTGTGGCCCATGGCCAGTAATTTCAGGCTAAAAGGTCTCAGATCAGGTCACACAGAGCAGACTGTACACCTTCAGAAAGGAGATACGCAGAGGAAAAGTGGTGTCAAGGAAAAGGTATGCTAAATGTTTCAGGGAGGCAGCTGTGGTGAATGGTTCCTTAAGCTTAGGTCAAGCCCTTCTGTCTCCATCATGAGGGCAGTAGACTATGCGTGCCCTTTGCTCCAAGCTGGTTCACTTCCAAGTTTTCAAACTAAGCCCATTTTCCTTTAATGGCTTTTTCCCCCAAATGCAACCCTGGCACTAGAACAGCCCAACTCTCAAGGGCAGCTCCTTCATCACAGTTTTACTTTTAGTGTCAGATTATATGTTTCCCTTCCTTGGACTGCATCATCATCATAACCCTTGTACTTGTATTCCCAAACTGGTGCCATGGAGACCATCATTATCACACACTTCTGTATTTTGTTGTTATAATGAAAAAGTATACAGGTAAAACTAGCATATGATTAGGAGTTCAGGTTTCAGACATGAAAGCCTGAAACCTGAGATACATTTCCACTAATAGAAATACTACAATTTGTGCATGACATACACTAGTAATTAATGGGGTTTTTTTTTCAAGTTTTTGCCGAAGTGGAAAAACATTGGAACCGGTTACAAAACCCTGGGTAACAAGATGAAAACCAAAGGGCTTGAAAAACATTTTCTTATCTTGGAAAACATGTTGCCCAGGACGCAGGATTGTGAACTAGTTTCTTACCTTTGGATGGTAAGCCCTTCTGTGTGGGAAATTGCATTCAAAGCTGTGATGACTTTTCCAAGAATTTATTTTCCTCTCCTTGCCAGTAAGTTTTTCTTCCTCATTAGTCTACTGCCCAAAGAGGATGGCTTCCAGGAAAGAATTAATATTTGCTGAGCCTCTCCAATAGACTGGCACTGTGCTGTGTACCTTTATGAATGGAAATAAATTTAACCTTCACATATTAGTATTTTAGATTACAACCAAGAAACTCAGGAAAATCACTTAGTATGTCTAAAGCCAGGCAACTTATATATGGAAGAGTCATACAGAAAATCTTTGGGTATCTAAGACTGGATGCTTTGCTTGTTAGAGCCTTGAATAGATAGAAGAAGAGTCTAAGAAATCTCTTGGAGGAAACTTTTAAATTGATAGAACATTTTCTGGCTCATCTTATTAACCATAGAGTCACTCTTTCACTTCCTTGAAAATGTGTCTTTACTGGTCTTTTTTTTTTTTTGTTTGTTTGTTTGTTTTGTTTTTTCCTTGGGTAATCCTTATATCTCAGTCATGTAAATATCCAAAGCATTAGACCTTGTCAAAGACAAAATGACTGGTTATAGTTCATAATGTAGATGAAAAAGAATCTGCAATTTAAGTGAAGATGCAAGACTCCTTCCCAGAAGAAAGGTTTTATTATGGTTATTAGTTTGTTTCTTTTTCCACGTGTGTGTCTGAATTTGATTTTCAGTTGTTTTGGATCATAGTGACTGTTTTATCATCAATGATCAGAGTGGATCACAAGAAAGTCCACTGCGGGCCATGATGCTAAAGGCTCAAGAATGCCTCCTCCCCAGCCATTCTCAATACTAGGAATGGAGACCAGGGCCTTCTGCACTGATCTGCATCTTTGGACCCTTCATGTTTTATTTTGAGTCAGTCTCACTGCATTATTAAGTTGTCCCAGCTCCACTTGAACTTCTAATCTTCCTACCTCAGGCTTCCAGAGGGCTGTGATTGCAATGGGTGTATAACCACGTTTATCTAAGGAATGATTGCTCCTTTTGAAAGAAGCTCACTCTCCATTGATAGCTGAACTACTTAGATGAAGGAGGAAAAGTTTTATTGACTCAAGCAACATTAATAATCTAAGTGTCAAGCCAGACTGTAAGACAAGACTATCTACCACCAGGTCTGTAGGCCTGGAGGAGTCCACACTGGGTATTAAGCTTTCTGTGGAAGGATTCCCAGAGCCCTCTGGAAGCACAGCACAGAGGGAAACACTGAGTGTTTTATGATTTAATTCCAGTAACAACTCCATGCGGCACACTTGATATAATCTGGTCCCCTTTCAAAGATAAGTAAATGAGGCTCTAGATGGGGAAAAGAGTAATCATCGTAAAGCATCCAATTATTATTTCTAGAAGGACCCTCAGTCTAACTCTTGCCCAGCTCTTGAGTTCATCTTAAAGTCTGTATGTGAAACATGTTTTGCTAGAAGAGATTTCTAAAGAAGTCTGTGAAAGTCTACTGATCTATCCTCTGAGATTCTAAATGGTTCAGTCAGCCTGGCACTCTGATGAGCTTTCATGTCATAGCTTCAGAGTGTCTGAGAAGGCTCAGCTGCTCAGAACATAAAGCATCTTGAGTTCACATGCTGGTGCTGTGCTCAGGCCCACGTTTTCCATTAATGTGTGAGTTTCAATTACCTTCATGTACAAGCCAGCCTGCTGTGATCTAACTGTGTAGTCGTGTATGGCTGGCTCATTGAAGTATAGATTTAAATCATGACTTCCACCAGTTTACAGAAATAAAACTTCTCTGTTCACATTCCCTTTACTCGTGACACCACGGTAACTGAGTACCAAATAGAAACCTAAATAAATAATCTGTGGATGTCTTTCATATCAGAGTTACACATGGCTAAGAAATTTGATTTTCTTTTCTTCTAAAATGTTTAATATTCATTTTTATTTGTGAAGGAATTAATGACTTTTCAGGACAGTAAAGTTGGTAAGATGTTGTTATATTTTATGAAAGTCTTAAGTATAAAACAAGAAAAAGACAGTAAACTTACATTTTGAAATAATTTATTATAATTTGTAAATTTACCTGCTGATATGGGAGAGTGACTTAGTGATTAATTTAGAAAAGTAAACAATAGACAGCAGGCCAAATTTTATTTGGCAAGTTTACCCTTCTCTTTAGCAATAAGAGCAAAATATTCCAGCCATACAGAAATCAGAAAATATAGGAATGAAGGATAACTGTTTTGCCTTCTGTCCACTGAGGTGCTGGTAGTGAAAGGATGAAAATCTGTCTCTGCAAGGCCCGACGAAGCCAGTGAAAATGCACACCTTACCTACTGCAGTATTCAGAATGTCTGCTCATCTTATATGAGGCTGAATCTGCCATAATGGTCCCACAGAGAATACACTAGATTTTCCTTAACCTAATGTCTGCACGTTTAATTTTTAGAGTGTAAAATATTGTTTCTTATTACAGAAACAAATTTATGTTGCTGAGTCTTTCTAAAGCCTGGCAGTTTGGGGCCTCCTAGAATGTTGTTGAAAGCATTCTACTGCTTTTTTATTTTTCTTCTTCTGTTGCTGGGGGTGCTGAGGATTGAAACCAGTGCCTTTGCACTAAGATGTATCCCCAATATCTTCTTTTTTTTTTTAATTTTTGTATCATGACAGGGTCTCACTGAGTCACAGGTTTGCCCAAGCTAGGCTCAAAATTGTGAGACCACTGCTTCAGACTCCCAGAAAGCTGGGACTATATGCCTGTGTCACTCCTCCTGTTTAAATTACTGCTTCTCAATCTACAAACAAACAAGCACATATGAGAAGATATCTGTGCATGCATTTGTGTGTGTGTGTGTGTGTGTGTGTGTGTGCACAATTTGATTGAGCATAATCAAATTTTTGCTGTTATATAACATCCAGGTTTTCCTTCCAGAAAATATATTCTGGAAAAAATATTGGAGGCTAGTGGACAAATATGTGGATGAGGAAACATTTTAGGGGCAAATCTTATACAAGATTGACAAATACATGAAAAACAACATCTGGAATTTTAGTTAAACTTTTCCCAGAGTATAGTTCAACTATTTGTTCAACAAATATTTATTAAACATCTGCTGTATATCTGGGCCTGGAGAGGCAGAGATGAATCAGATAAAATTGCCTGTTCTCTGGAGGTTCACGGTCTTAGTGAGGTCAAAGTGGTTATGGCAACAAATCGTGACAGAGGAATGAATAGGATACCAATTTCTATAGGAATTCACAGTGGAGGACATTGCAAAGAAATGGATGGTGAAGAGGTCTAGGGAAGCCTTCTAGAAGAGGTAACTTTGGGATTCAGTTTCAAGCTTTGACAAGTTTTACTCACTTGATAAAAGGAATAGATTTGGGCACAGAGAGCGACGAGTGGAGAGAGACTCAAGGAGTATGGAAAACCATGGCAGACTTGGAAACTAAAAATTATTTCTCCATTTGGGGCTGCGTCAATTCATGTGAGAAGAAGCAGGATGTGAAAAGAGGCAGGGTATGAGGCTGGCAGGCAAGATCTAATGTAGGTGAAGGAAGCAGTTGGCCCACTTTGTAGATGCGGACTGTGTTACATGGGCAAAGAGAAAGTAGAGGTGTTTTAAGCAGGAGAGGTTGATGTGTTTAACCAGGGTGGTTGATTATGTTTGAATTTTATACAAACATTGAATCAGCTACAAATTTTATATCGGATTTCCACTTTAAAGAAGACTGACTCATAACTGGGTGAATTGTTTAGGCAAAATTGATGGGAGAGTTGGGAGTTCCTCTTAAAAACGAATAAAACTTGCAACATTCTTGTAGTGAAGCAGGCAAAAGCATGAGCACGGCTTGTGCTCACACTCGTTGAAATATTTAATTATATGATATGATTATTTAGAGTACAAAGCTAAAGCTCATGGCTTTCGAGGCAGAGGGTGAACACTCAAGCAGAATCTGCTGTGGTTAACTTACCAGGGAAGGCATTCAGTACCCACCAACTGGAAAAATGCAATTGCTGAGTTTTGTTCCAAAATGCAGATGGTTCCTTGACGCTATCAAGCCAAATGTCTATTGCCTCTATAGATACTAAAAGAACAAGTGGGAAGAATTGTGGTTATTAACCTTTACAGTGAAAAGGGTATGCTCAAATTTGGCAAGCTGAATGCAACTGTGACTGGAAAAGTCTTGATCTGAAAGCACCTCCTGTTCCAACAGATAACACTGCAGGCATCTATGCTCAGCATGGAGGATTCAGTCGGCAGAAGCAGGACTTATACCTCCTGCCCATAGTGATCAGTGATGGTGGCATTCCACCCATGAGTAGTACCAACACCCTCACCATCAAAGTCTGTGGGTGCGACGTGAATGGCGTGCTGCTGTCCTGTAATGCTGAGGCCTACATCCTGAATGCTGGTCTGAGCACAGGGGCACTCATCGCCATCCTTGCCTGCATCGTCATTCTCCTGGGTAAGGGATCTCCCTTGTCACTTAGTACAGCTGGATGTGCATCCTTGACCATGTATTTCTCAGTTATGAGCTGGTTACCAGGCCATGTGCTGCAATGTGGACATGGTTTAAACGAAATACAAGTAAGAATTTCCTGCGCCCATGAGTTCTATAGCACAGCGGGCATGGCGTGCAATTTAACAAGCATGCAAGTGGAGGGAAGGAAAGGCTATGATGACGATTTTGCCAGACATCACAGACGTACACAGTGGAAGATGCCATGAAGGGGCTGGAAATGCATCCAAGAAATAGTTTGCAGATAATGAATTTAAAGAGGGGCCTGGTATATGAGGAAATGTTTTGTCTCATAAGAGAAAGAAAAAAGGTTAGTAAGATGCAGAAATAATATTTACAACCTTAAAGATAGTGCAGGCAGGACTCAAGGAACAGGATGAAGGTTTGCTGGATGAAGCCAGGCTGTGACCTTCCCTATCATTAGGATCTAGAATATCTGTGTGCACATCTTAGTTTATGCAGATCCCTGGGAGATTTTCCTGCACTTGCCCGCTGAGATAGGTTCCCCTCTTTTGCACTTCAGTCCACCCATGATCCACTCTGTAAAAAAGCCATATGCAGATGCTAAAATATTCTCCCTCTGCTGGATTTCAGGAAGATTCAATCATTTATCCTATGTACTCAGCACACTGATTGACAAAAGTTGCCATTCAAACTCAGATATGTCTGACATCAAACATGCTTTTATCAAGATGTTTAATTCTCCACTGAATGAATAATGGGGCTGACTCCTTAGGAAGGAGCCACTGAACTCAGTTCAAAAATTAGTAGTGCAGTATTATCTGGGAACCAGGCCCCATATTAAACCTTGAGGCATTAAAAAAAAATCTTGCACAATATTTCTGTGCTGGATGAGGCTATAGTCTATCAAGGAAGGTATGCATGAACAAACAGACAGAGATACCTGATAAGTGCTTACAGAAAAGTGTAGACAAAGGACATTGCCTGCAGAAAGCAAAAAGTACATGTCGCTGCCTGAAGAGGTTCAGAGACTTCTTCTTTGAAGACATAAAATTTATGTCAGAAACAGAATGTGTTTCCTAGCTGGTGAAAGGGGCTGGGATGGTTGGGTATCCAGGTAGAGTGAACAAAAGAGGAGGAGCCCTAAAGGATGCATACAGGGATAGACGAAAGTCTAAATCACATGATGGATGTAATGAAGATGGCAAGAACAGGTGCATGTGTAGAAAAGCAGGTGCATAGCCTGTCTGGTGTCAAGGTAGGAAATCAGTAAAGATTGCCATAATGAAAAATAAAAAAGAATCAACCAGGCAAAGAAAGTGAAAAGGAATGATAGGTGCTGGAGACGAAAGTGCTTTCAGGAACAAATCACAGAGCTCGGAGACCCCATAAAGACCAGCACAAGGGCTGGGCCCCCGTCCCTGAAACTTAGAGTGGTGTGGACCCAGGGAAATCTCAGTTCCCTTTCCAAAGGCAACCACAAACATTTCCTTCCATCTTGTTAAATGTGTGAGGGAATCTTCTTGGTAGGGTTGAGAAGAAATGGAGAGAACTGATACAGAATAAGCAGTGTCTCAACTCTCTTTATAAATGACTGCTCATTCTCCTAGATTGTCCATTCTAATAGAACACCTTACCCAGAAAAGGTACTGGATTGTGTGTGGTTTTTAAAATTTAAAATAAATAGAAGATTATTCTTCTGAGTTTTTGTTTTTAATATGCTCTCTACCCACACGCGTGCTAAGGTTTCTATTGTTATAGAGCAGGGCTCATGCTTCTCCCCAGATCTTTGGGCAGGATATAGTTTTCATTCTTAAAAGAAGGTTCTCTAAAGGTCCTCATTTGTAAATGTGAGAATCCAGCCAGCTCCATTTGCAAAAGCAAATAACAGCATTAGGCTTCTTTAAGAAACTCTAAGCCAACACCTTTAGAATCTTCCCATTTCTTAGGAAGACGACTTCCAAAAAGCACTGGGATTCCTGTGGCAAAAGTTTAAAATAGTTCCAATCTGCCAAGTTACTGCACATAATGTTTACCTGGGAGCATTTTCCACCAACAGAGACAGGCAAAGGGCAGGTCTGCATGTCTCTGGGAATTCCAGGCAGCACTCTCATTTCCTAGGATGCACCCGGTTTCTGAAGCATTTGCACATTTAATGGTTTACAGAAAGCTGAACTCCTCTAGGAAAAGAATCCAGGGAAACTGGGCTTCACCTAAGCTTATTTTCTTTCATTTTTCTTCCCCTTGTAGTCATTGTAGTCTTGTTCGTGACGTTGAGAAGGCAAAAAGAAGAACCACTCATCGTTTTTGAGGAAGAAGATGTCCGTGAGAACATCATTACTTATGATGATGAAGGAGGTGGTGAGGAAGACACGGAAGCCTTTGATATCGCCACCCTCCAGAACCCTGATGGTATCAATGGCTTTATCCCCCGCAAAGACATCAAACCTGAGTATCAGTACATGCCTAGACCTGGGCTCCGGCCAGCACCCAACAGCGTGGATGTGGACGACTTCATCAACACCAAGATACAGGAGGCAGATAATGACCCCACCGCCCCGCCCTATGACTCCATCCAAATCTATGGCTACGAGGGCAGGGGCTCCGTGGCCGGGTCCCTGAGCTCCTTAGAGTCTGCCACCACAGATTCAGACTTCGACTATGACTATCTACATAACTGGGGACCTCGTTTTAAGAAATTAGTAGACTTGTACTGTTCCAAAGACACTTTTGATGACGACTGTTAACAACAAAGATACAAATTTGACCTTAAAGAACTGTCTGGGTTCTCACAAATCTAGAAGATGTGTAAACAGGTATTTTTTTAAATCAAGGGAAGACTCATTTAAAACAAGCAAAGTTTTACAGAGAGGATACATTTAATAAAACTGCAAGGACATCAAAGTGGTAAATACTGTGAAGTATCTTTTCCCACAAAAAGGCAAATATTGAAGTTGTTTGTCAACCTCACTAGAGAAAAACCACTTGGCATACAAAATATTAAAGTGAAGGAGGATTCTAACGGTGAACTCACAATGAAGGGAAATCATTTGTGTATTATGAACATCTAAGTCTTTCTTCTTCTTCTTCTTCTTTTTTTAATTTGTCAAAGAAGCTTCCAGAAAATTAGAAAGGACAACAGTTCTGAGCTGTAATTTTGCCTTAAACTATGGACACTCTATATGTAGTGCATTTTTAAACTTGAAATATATAATATTCAACCAGCTTAAACCCATACAATGTATGTAAAATACAATGTACAATTATGTCTCTTGAGCATTAATTTTGTTACTGCTGATTGTTGTAAATATTTTTGCTTCTACTTTCATCTTAAACTAATACGTGCTAGATATAACTGTTTTGTTTCAGTGGGAAGTGCCCTATTTCTATGTCATTTTTAATGTATCTATTTGTAGGATTTTAAAGTTCTTATTTTAGTATACATGCAAATATTGGTATTCTGACATGTAAGAAAATGTTACAGCATCACACTTATATTTTATGAACATTGTACTGTTGCTTTAATATGAGCTTAAATATAAGAAGCAATCTTTGAAATAAAAAAAGATTGTTTTTAATTCTGGGTTTGATTCTTAACATTGAAAAAAATCAAGGATTTATAATGATCCATTTATATTTCTAATTTAATTGTGATCTTTGGTAATCCTATTTATGATCTGTTATAGTCTGTCTGTTGCTTTGGTTGCTTATTTAAAATCAAATATATTTGATAAATGTTATTTTTTTTTTCTCAGACAAGATTCTGTAACGTCATGTAAACCATGTTTTGTAAGCTCTTGGTGTTAGCCTCTTGGCTTGTTTTTGCACATCTCTTCTAGAGAAGAAGGAAGCTAGGCATATAGATCACTCTATGATTTTGCAATATGTTATATAACATGCATTTATCTTACGTATCAACACTGCCCTATTTATGAGAGATGAATCCATGAGGGAATGGAGGCTATCAGAGTTCTTAATGTTCGAGGTGTAGATTTCATGCCCCACCTGGAACATTTGGGAGTTGGAAGGAAGAGTAACATGTCAAAATATTAATTTTCCCCTCGATTCCAATATTATTCTTTTTTTCTTTATATTGTTCGTACCAGGCTGTTGTAGGACTCCAACAGTAGAAACTGCTCATTTCCCCTCCTGTTATTTTTACTTAAAGTGAGGTGGCATTTTGTTTTGATAAGAGAAAGAGAACTTCACTTTAAAAATTTTGCTTTCGAATATGCTTTGAGCTGTAAGCTTCAGATGAAAGCAGGGATAATGTTGCATTTGGAGGGTGAATTCCATTTGAATTGCTAATATGGCAGGATCATCTGAAATCCAGTCTTGCTTCCCATGGACTGGGACTATGTAAAGGAGATTTTACTTGTATAGTTGGGCCAAAGGTCGAAACATAGCAATACTTGGGGAAAGATCACAGAAAATCATGCTATAAGCACTTTCCCTCTTTCCCCCTAAACACTACAGGGCATATGTTTTTTTCTTGGATTACCGACAGTTTTTAGATTATCTTCTTCTTTTTCTTACTTTTTGTGAAAGTTTGTTTCAAGCATTTCTCGGTACCTTGTTGTATACTATTTTTATGATTCAGTCAAAATGCATACAAAGAAATGTTTTTATGAAGTGCTCACTTCCGTTTTACTTTGCATTTAAATCAAACTGGCTGAACACTTCAATAGAATCAATTCTGTGGACAATGTCACTTTCACTGCAGTGAAGATTCGAACATTCGCAATACTTCCATAATTGCAGGTTGTGTTCAATTTTTATATAGTTTTTGTAATCCAAAGAATATTTTGCTAGATTTGCACAGATCTCCAAACAAATTTGAAATGAAGAAATAGCTCAAAAGGAATAAGAATAGCACTTGAACAAGTCTGCCGCTGTAAGTAACCCTATCACCATGAATGATCCTTTTTTCTAGGAATGTATTTGCGATAGAGTGACAACTACATTTTCACGTTTTTATGTCAAAGGTTTTTTAAAAGCTGTCTACTTTTCAATAGTTAGAGATACTTGTTTTTTTTTTTTTCTTTTTACTTTTTTTTTTTTTTTTTTTTTTTTTTTTTTTTACTTTAAGACTCTATTGTTTGTAGAAACATCTTAGAAGCTTGAAAATAAAATGTTTTTCCTGATTAGTGGAGTCCTTTTTCATTTGAAATATATTGCCTTAAAAGCAATCTTGCTTTAACTAGCATTTCTTTATTTCACTATAAAAATAATCACTGCTTTAAGATATAAATACAATCTTAAAAATGAATATTATTTCTTCCTCTTGTCCTTAGATAATGGATATTATTTATATTTATCATTCATTCCTGCAATCATTGGTACACTCTTCCACCAAAATCTTATATTGCAGACACTATGCTGGCTACTTGAGTATGCAGATTGAATCTTGGTACCTTCCTTTACATTGCTAAGTCTCCTCCAAGCTACACTAAAATATCTTTTATTTGCCCAGATCTACAATTGAATTTCAAAAGCTGAAATAATCCAAAAGAAACATGAATGGCACGTAAACAAGATTGGTGTCTTGTAACCACTTATACCCATCTGCTACTTCCCTAAACAATGCAAGATTGAGAGAAAAAATAATAAAGGATGAAAAGATAAGAGAACACAAATACCTAAAGTGACACATTCAGGGCCCCACAGTATGGATCTCTGTGTTAGGTGGGCCCTAGTAAGGAGTGTTTGAATTGCTGTGGGGAACTAGTCCCTTTATGAGAACTTTTACAGAACAGTGGAATCAAAGTTCGACATTTTGTATCTGAGCAGAAGAGGGGCAAAATCCTTCTGGCAGGCAGTATGGATGACAGATTGAAAGCACATAAGACTAGGACACTCCAGGAAGATCTCTGTGAAGGTCAAAAGGACATATGAGGGCTTGGAATAACTCAAGAAATCAGGCATGAAAACGAGAAAAGTCCTGCCTGCTTCCACTATGCCTTCAGCCTGGCCAGCTGCCAGGGTCTCTGACCTGGAAGAAGGCCTTGATGTCTCAGCTGCAAACCCCGCCCCGTCTCCCCTCCACAAAGGAGGCAAAGGAGCATTTTAAAGAATTCAGTTTGCAAGATTCCATAGTTTGAACACTTCTCTGTCTTCCTAAATTCTTAAAATCTGATTTATTTTCTTACTTTACAAGAACATGCCCTGCAAACTTCTGCAACTTCATTATATGTCATCCTGCTCTACACCCTGCCACATCCCGGGCACACAGGCCTTCAATTTAATTTGAAAATGAATCTAAGGGAGATCATCCTTTGTTGGTTCCATTGTTACAATCTTCACTCCTTCAATTTATTTTGCTTATTGACATTCATGTATCTGTGTGTTGGTATATATGCACCCGTGTGTGTGTGTGAATCTGATTAACACCTACACGTGAGCTCCCAGAGGGCACAGACATGATGTGCTGGTCAACCACTGTATGCCCAGTAGTGTAACAGTGTGCAGTGAATATTTATGGAGTGAATGAAAAAAAACACTGGTAAGGCAGCTTTTCCAGGACTTGCTGACTATTAGAGAACGCCATTATGATTTTAAGCTTTTCTCTTTTGGAAACAGAGTCCATTATACTAGGAGTTGTTACTGGAAAGGAGAAATGGGTTTGAGGAAAGGAAGCTGAGCTCCATTTGAGTGGAAATGTAACTTGCAGATGCATGAGAGACAGCTGGAGTGAGCTGAGAAGTACAAAGGCTGGAGGCCAGGTGCACATGCAGCTCACCAGAGAAGCATCGGATGGGCAGGAGGATGGGATCAGCAGAGAGAGGAGACTCCCAGCGAGTCACTGTTTTGCTTCTGATTGAATTTCCACTTCCCTTTCCCAGTTTTCAAAGGGTAGTTCCATGGTGAAGTCCTTCTGGTGTTGAAAAGTAATGGTGAATTTAGTTTTATGAATAAAGATAATTAATAAGCATAAATCTCACCCTTGTATGTCAAATGCTTTGAAAAGTAAGAAGAAAGTATCAATTAAGTTGTTAAACCTTCCTTTCATAACCAGCCCTTTGAAGCTCATACTCTACAGGAGTCATAAACTAGCCACATGACGTCCATCCTCTTTCTGTGAGAAAATAAAGTACTTGCTATGCTCCTCATGTTACACTGAAGGACACTGTAGACCAGAGGCTGAGACATCCTTCCGAAGTGATGCAGAAACTTGGTGGAAGGGATTCCATTCCATCCATTACACTTACATTGGTCAGAGGACTTAATATTTGAGCGTAAAGAAACCTACAAGGATGACTATTGGTTGCAACCAGTGACTTAGCTGAAACATTATTTTGAAAGTTTGAAAGGAATGTGGATGTCCAGTTCCATACATTTAGCTTATGACTCTGAGCAGCCACTCACCATATAGGGTTTATTCATCCCCTTGGGCTCAGCTGCCTTCCCTAGTCACAGTGCTACTGTGCATTGTTCTGCCAGGTTTACATTCTTCTACAGCAGCACTTTGCAAATTACATAGAAAAGAAAGCAAGTGGGTGTTTTATACCCATATGTATTGTGTTTCATACAAACTTGGTATTTCACCCTCTTCATGAAACTAAAAATATGCACAAAAAAGAAGACCAGAGTCTGGAGCTTTTATTGGTTTTCAATGGACTGCATTAAGAATTGTGCTTTCAGGTCACTGTACTCTTCAAGGAAATTATTGTTTTCTGATGATTTCACCTTGACTCGATTGTTGCCAATCACTTTAAGAAATTGATGACTAGTACTTGGTCGTCTCTCACAGTTTCACAGAAATGATACTGTCAGTAACAGGTTACACAAAACTCATCTTCAGCTCAAGGGCATAATAATGTACCCCATACTGGACATAGCTTTCACAGTACTGCTATGTAGAAGGCCAGGCTCAAACATTAATTAGCTGTGTGACTTCATACCTGCATCGTGACCCCTCTGTAAACTTCATTTTCTATATGCATTCAGTGGAAATAACTATTCCTATTGTGGCAGCAGTGGTAAAGAGCAAGGGAACACAGTTCTAGAGCTGCTAACAATTCCTGGACTCACTAGAAGGCAACAATTACATTTCATTTATTTTTATTGCTATTGTTATTACTTTGTATTTTGGCAATATTCATGATTGAACACAGGATTCTCACTAA